TCACATGTTTGAACTTCCTGGGATCGGATGGCGGGCAAGCGGGGCAAGGGGTGTCTGCGCCTTTCACCTGACGGCAGCGTGCACTGTGCGCTCACAGTACCGTACTGTCAGCGCACGGTTTTATCGAAAGCCGGCAAAACTGGGTCAACAACAGAGCAACGGAGAATTGATACCTGTCACATAATGACGCAATACTTTGCGTTCTTTCCAACGCCCACTCGCGCTTAACGCCACCGTTGTCCATTATGACCACCACAAGCTCTGTTCTTCGATAACCGGCCGGCCCTCGGCCGCAACAGAAACTCTATCATGACCCCTCGCACCCACAGAACAATGGCAGGACTCGGCGCCCTCTTCGCGGCGCACCAAATTCCCATTCCTGCACATCATCAATCGCAACCACCACTAACCACACAACCACACCAATCACACCAGCCAACCGCTCTGTCGATCCAACAACACACCAGGCCTGGTAAACCAGAAGCGAACCCCTTATTGTGGCGTGACACAGAATCTGACAGGTCCTGCAGACCATAGCTAAGGCCTCGAAGATACGCATGCCGATACAGAAAGCGGATCGGAAGGGAGGAAAGAAAACAACCACCGTTATCGTCTATCCAGCCGTTCTGAAAAAGGACGGCAAACACTGCCGCGATTGCACAGCCTCCGCAAAAGCAATCCGTCACATCAGCGGAGACCCTGAGACTTGGACCGACGATCAGATCCTCCAAGTTGTTCAATTCGGCCACCAGATCTGTCAGGAAGTAAAAGATAATATAACTCCGTTAGAGGCACGTCAGTTCATACATCATGTTTCAAACCTAGATATCGAGAAGGCAGTAGAGGTAAAGAGATGGTTTGTTCGTATTGTGGAAATCGCCACGATATTGATCAGGATTGAGGAGGAGGATGAACAGTAGGTAGGAGCGGTAGAGAGGTAGTTGCGGTCAGAATCAATACAACGGGTCAACGTCACAGTCAACTCCCACTCGCACAGAGAAAGGAAAAAAAAAAGAAAACCCTACGTCCCTTCGAAAAGGGCTGGTTTTTGTTATACCCTTTTCGCTACTATGCCTTGAGGAACGAAAGGCTCTTAGAGGACGCGAAAGAATGGGAAGCCTAACAAACCCTACAGACCCGTAACCACTCGTCGGTTTTCGTCGGTTTTGGTCACGAAGAGCCCTGCCAGCCCGTTCCATCACATCTTTTTTTTTCTTTCTAGGTGAGTGCCTCCTTAAAGGTTGAGGCCGCGTTATACATACAAGATGTTGGGATCATCGAGCCTTAGGATCCTCCCATGCTCCCCTCCGTCACGCCGTACAATTCACTCGACACCAACAGAGAGAATCCCGTCCTCCCAGAAGCAATACTGGTTGTCTTCATAGGATTTGGCGAGGTAATCCACTGCACAGTCAGTGCCAAACTCGAGCTGCTCGTCCGTCAGAGGTTCCTGGTTCTCATTGCTCGTCATCTCAAGGTCGACAACCATAACCCTGCCGTCGGTGAGATGGAAGTTGTCCAGCTTGGTATCATCCTGCAATACCCCGAAGCGAGAAAGCGCGGTGAGGGCCTGGCGGACCAAGCGGCGAAACTCATCCAGCTCCAGCATGCCTCCCTCAGGCGCAGCCAGGCATACGCCACCAATGTCCGACATAAGAAGCGCTGGCGTGTTGTCGTACTGGAGTTCGCCGAAGAGCCTTGGAACGACGGTTCCCTGTAACAGGTGCAGTTTCGCGTAGGCCGCTTTCTCCGCTTCAAACTCCTCCTCCCAGTTCTTCTTCTGCTTCTTGAGGATAAGCCGCGAAGGAAGAGTCCACTCGGGAAACAGCAACTCGAACCAAGCCTGTATTGCGCATGGTAAATAGCCAAGTACCGTTTGTAGAATGGACTGCAGGAAGCTGGCCTGCAGGTGAAGACGGAGGACGTTTGAGTGCACGTTATTGGCCGGAGTAGCGGCTGCGGTGAGGATGCGCGTCCGAAAGCGAAATCGCTTACTCGTTGTTAATCTCCCGTGTCTTACTCAAAGGAAGAGGGAATACAAGGAAGAGTGCATACAATTGTCTTTTCAGGCCATGTATTAACGGGAAAATTCGGCCCTGGTTTTAGTCGCCCGGGAGGCCGGCGAGGTTTAGGCGGGGGCACGGCGCGGCCGCCGAGCTTCGGCCCTCGCCGTTGCACTACTGGAGGGTCGTCATCGACGAAGATAATAGGTTCGTTATCCATATCGGAGGGGATAATGGGTCGTGAAGCATGGAAACTGAGAATCAAGCTTTCGGTCAAGAGCGTCTTGAGAACAACAGCTCGAAGGATGTGGAAGTTTTGCCTGGGATGAAATGGCAGCGTTACCAGGGGGATTTAGGGGCTGGTCAGCTGTGGCTTCGCCACGCACTGCGCTTCCAACACCAATCAGCGCTCTGCGTCACCCGCGGGTACTGGTTCCAGGCGGCGAGGACGACGTTGGAGATCTCGGTGTGGAACCACAGCTCGCAGTCGGCCTCGCACTCCAGGCGCGGGGCCTGTCGTTCGGCCGCCTTGCCTCCACGCTTGCGCGCAGTATCGTGTCATCGCTGTCCAGAGGGAGGAAGGCCCGGTCAAAGTTTTGCTGTCGTCCAGTTGTCCTCGTCGATGATGGTGTGCACGATGAGGTTCCTGATCGCGGGATAGCGCTGCGCCCAGGCCTTGTCGCTCTGCGTGACGTACTTGGGGTTGTGGACCGGATTCGTGGGATGCTCTTGCAGAAGCCGATCCACAGTGATGGGGTCGCTCATGGCGCTGGCTGGAAGGCGTTGGTGTGTGTGGAAGGGGGAGGTTGGGAAGCGATAGGTGAATGGAAATTTGGGTGGGGACTTAGGAGAAGGAATCGTGCATCTCGAGCGAGGGGCCTCACTCGGTGCTTGTCGGATGTGAAGGTGGGCGCGGGGAAACGCGAATCACGCTCCACCCCCGAGGTGGCTGTCAAACAAAGGCACGAGCCACTAGCAAACTTTGCCTCGGGGTTGCACGACATATGGATTCCGTCTGGACGGAGGGGCATATTTGCCAAACGTAAAGACATGTCAGACATGGCGTTGGAGGTGGCGCGGTTGTCGGGGGTGGTGCTGGGAGACCCATAGTTAGTGGTTGGAAAATGACCAGCAGATGTGGGCGGGAGACACAAACCGCTCAAGCCTAACAACGAGTTGCCAGCTTTAGTCAGCCACGAAGCCCGTGACAGTATTATGGGTGCGAGGTGCAACAACGCAAAGGGTGAGGATAGGTGCAAACAGTGCAAGTGGCAAGTGCAATAATAGTGCAGGTGCAAATGTAGAGGTGCAAGCTACAGAGATGCAAAGGTGCAAGGCGCAAATGGCGCCAAAGGCAGGGCGCAAAAGGGGCAAAATGTGCAGGGCGCAAAATATACTCTAGATTACTCCTCGGAATGCCCCTACTGCGTGGAGGCTCGGGAAAAGGAGGAAGCGCGGAAGGAGAAGAACAATAGCTAAATGGGCAGAAGCTGAGGGCGAATGTTCGGTTCCTCTCGAAGGAACGTAGTCGTGCAAGATAGCATAGCGGCACCATCTCGTGGACGAGGCCTGCATCTGCCATTGGCAAGCGGCCAAGTTTTGTGAAACAGGCATATATCCTCACAACAAGGCTACTTAGAAATCGGTGAATGTCGGCCCCGAGAGCTGTCGCGCTCATTGGGTTGGGGGACGCGTGACACCGCAATGATTCACGAGATTTGCATTCACACAACCAGAGTTCTCAACATGCATTATTATTGCCATGAATTCCTTTCTATCCTTGACGCGGCTCTTCGCCCATAATTTACTCTGCTACTTCGTATGCTTACCCCTTCAATTCCCTCGACGACCTCTTCGAGCGGCCTGTCCCTGCTTGCCCAGACTTTAAAATCCCTTGAGGCATTGCGGCCTTGGGTGTTGGCTTCTTCGACAGCCGGCCGTTGCGAACACCTGGACTGCTCGTTTTGCGCGTATTCGAAAGTTGTAAAGAGGCGTTGTAAAGTGACTGGGTTTCACCAAGTAACCCAAACTCAGGCAACTGTCCCGCGAGCCTTCGGCTTTCCCGCTCTTTCTGGTATGTCCTGCGTTGCCTCCTGTGACCTTGAGGTATTACTTGTGTTTTATCGCTAAGCTCCTCGGACGTGTCAGGTTTGGACGGGCGGCGCCTTCGATTAGGTGGCAGGGCTTCTACAGGTGTGGGAGCGGACCGCCGGGATCGAGCGGTTCTGAGACTGCGGCGCTGCAGTGCATTCTTCGTGGCTCGACTGCCGCGAGCCGGAGTATCCTTTGCCGGTCGCAGTGGTGATGCCTGCGCCTGTGGCGCTACTCCGCCCCCAGCATGTCTATCCGTGCCAGCTTGCCTCGTATGCATAGGACGGTTGTGGACCCACCTCCAGCTCTTCTTGGGTGTCCTCTACCTCGCCGGGCTTGCTAGGTCCGCGATCGTCATCGGGGCCATTGCTGTTGGGAAGCGGTGGCGCGCCGTTGGTGGTAGTGTTGACTGATGGGCGAGTCGTCAATGCGTGCTGGCCCTGTGCGCGCGTGCGCCGAGCCATCTGCAATCGATAGGAAGATGGGCGAAGATATGTGTTTGAAGAACCGATTTAGCTGGAATCGATGGGCGAAGATGGGCGAAGAGTTGTAGTTGAAGAACCGATTGATGGGTCGTTTGAAGAAGTTCGGCAATGGAAGGGGAAACAAAATGTCGCCTGTGCTTCCGAGCGCCCGTTCGTGTCCGTTTTAGCGCCGGGCTCTGCGCCAATCGCCAGGCTTCCCCGCGCCGCCTCTCTTCCGCCCGCTTGCTTCTGGTTCCCGCAGAGGGTACACGACCCGGAGGTACTTCGCGGGGTCCTGTCCTTTGGCGCGGGCGGATGCTTGGCGCCAGATTTCTGACCAATACGCCAGCAATCGGCGGCGTAACCCACCGAAAACGGCGACAGACTCGCCGTCACATTGTTTAAGTTAGTAAATATCTTACCAGGTAAATATAATTTTTCAGGGCTGGTGGTCTAGTGGTATGATTCTCGCTTTGGGTGCGAGAGGTCCCGGGTTCGATCCCCGGCTAGCCCCTATATTTTGACGAATTACAAAGAAAGAACGCTGTCACGACCCATGGTCGCAGGAGGGGTCGGGCCGGACCGACATAGCCCCGCAGGAAGCACAGTATGTAGCCCAGTGTATGTAAGCGACGCACACGGAGCGCTCACCCTGCTCACCCTTATCGCGGGTGATCACTGTGAGCAGCCCGTGATCGTGCTCACTCTGCTCACCCTGATCACAGGTGAGCACTGTGAGCAGAGTGAGCGAGGTACGGAGGTACCACCAGGACCCAGTAGTATAGATACCATCATCGTGCCCACGATGGAGTGAGGGACCTCTTGGTTCCTCACGCTAGCAATTACATTGTTCTTGAGCATCGAACCTCAGTGAGATCCATTCGTCAGGGACCTCTGGATCTACGATCTGCTTGACAGTGTATTGTTCCGTGAGAGTTGCGCTAGCCTTCATTCAGTCATCTTGTCTCTATCAACCTTGTAGCAATTGGGCCTTTGTCCGCTACTACGATCTGTCTTTGTCCGACCCCCTCAGTGGAGTCGGAAGCAGGCCGTAACACGATTGCTAGCGTCTTGAACAAGATCGCTGTTTGTTGAACTCTCAGACCTACCCCACCATGTCGACCCCTACCGCCCCACTCACCGCTGCGGCACGCCCCACCGCTCCATCTTCTGCCCAGGCACGCGCCGTGGCAACCACCTCTCGCAACCCCTCGACCGGAAATAACGCCAACGATGGAGACACCTCCCTTCCGGACGCCCCCAACCCTTCGGCCGAGACGGACGACGAAGACGATAACCCCAGTCGGAAGGAACTGGCCAACCTCATCAAGCAGTACAGCCAGAATGTCGCCGAAGCCTTCAAGAAAGGCGCCAAACCTCCCTCTCCTCCTCCAGCGGTGCCTCCTCCCCCACCGAAGATCAAGGCGGGGAAGCCGCCTATGTTCAATGGCAAACCCGCGGAGTTGTCACCATGGCTGACTCGCCTACAACTCGATTTCCGCCTCTTGAGGATCTCCGACATCAGCTCCCAGATCCTGTACGCGGCAAGCTGGATGGAAGGAGACCCCGGACTGTGGTTTACCGGCATTGTCAGCGACTACTTCGACCACGCCCCGGACGAGCGCCGACCCGTGACGCAAAAAATCTTCGACGCCGACGAAGGATGGGTCAATTTCGAAGAAGAAATCACCAAGATGTACGGAGAGAGGGACGAGCAGAAGCAAGCCGAAGATCGCCTCGAAAGGCTCGTTCAGACCACGTCAGCAGCCGCCTACCTCTCCGCCTTCAATCGGGACCGGTACCGCGTCAATTGGGACGAAGCGGCCCTGAAGCACCGATTCTACAGAGGACTCAAGTCCTCAGTCAAGGACGAGCTCTGCAAGCTGGACCGCTACAGCTACGATTTCGACAACTACGCGAACGAAGCCGTCAAGATTGACGCCCGACTTTTCGAACGGTACATGGAGGAGAAAGGACGGTATCGACACACGCATCCCTTCCAAAACAAGCCACGACCCAAGCCAACGGAGAAGGTCAAAGGATCAGGACGAGTCATCCCACCGAGTACCTCTTACGGGCAACACCCCGGACCCATGGACATCGGGATGGCTAGGGCTAACGGACGGAGCGATTCTCAGAAGTCAAACAGACCGCCTGCTAAGGACAAGAGTCAGAGCAAATGTTACAATTGCGGCAAGAACGGCCACTTCGCGCGAGAATGCAGATCACCAAAGAAGAAGCAAGTCACCTGGTCACCAGTCACTGAACCCAAAGCAACAACCAGAATGACCACCGAAACCGAAGTCGTCCGCATGGTCAACTCGGAAGATAATGACTGGATGAACGACCACGACCCGACGGAAGACTATGACGACAACGATGAGTACCAGGATGAGTCATACCGACAAGAACACTACGACTCGGACGGCGACGACATCAATCCCGACCAAAGAGACCGGAGGGGACTCACCCCCTACAACCCGTTCGATCACGACGGTGACAACTGGGAAACTGCGAGCGAAGGCGGTGGGGAGGCCCAGGAGGTGCAGGTCGACGAAGACCGACTCCTTGAGGAATCGCCCACGCGTGATGCCCCCCCTGAGGTGCAGGTCGACCTTGACCGACTCAGGCAGAGGCTTGCGATCACAACGCCTTCAAGGATTGAGCAGGAGGACAACGCCCAGATGAGATCACAACTGGTCGAACAACAAGAAGCTGAAGAATACGAGCTGAGGAACAGCATCGTCTCAACAATGGGAGCGGAAGAACACGAACAAGACAAACGCTCCTTGATGACCAGACCACTGAAGGAAATCCACCACCTGCTCGTACAGAGGATTCAGCAAGTCCAACAAGAACCGCAAGAAAACGGCATGCTGTTAAGACTCCTCAACCGACAAGTCAACCATTCGGAGCATATCCTACGACAGAAAGGGGACAGAGTCGTAACCGCCTCCTGGATCAACCCCGAAGACTGGACGATGATTGAAGAAACTCGGCGGGTGTGGACTCCAGAAATCGGTCGAGCCACAGAACCGCTGCCCCTCCACCTACCAGACACTACTCCGCCGGCGTTTCTCCATGACGAAGAACACGAACACATCCTGTGGATTAGTTGCGTCCACGACTGTTGTCGAAAACCGTCACATTGGGGAATGAAAATCCTGTACAACCACTTCCCAACGGTCCAATACCCAGCAGTCCAAGGACCAAGAGAAGTCCTGACGGTCTACGACCACGTGGAGCCAGAGTTCTACGAAGTCGACTCGCTGCCTGACGACGGAATGATCACCCTTCAAAACCCCACGCCACCAGAATGTTGGAATGGCCGATACATCGCCCACTGCCCAGAGAAACACTGTCTCTTACACCAAACCGAGAAGGCACACCAGTGGCAAGAAAGATGGCATCGCCAGGAAGAGTTGTGGCGAAACCACGAAGAAAGAAGCCGCAACCGAGCACGCAGGAGAAGGGCAAAAAAGACCCCGCTCAACCACGAAGAAGAAGTCATGCTGAGCCACCTCAAGGAGTTCCAAGATTTCGAACCATTCGAGGTCCGCTGGAACTCAAGGCGAGATTTCCGAGACCGCAGGCACCGCCACTGGCAATACAACCTCAGCCAACCCTGGTGGAGGGAGCTCTGCGGGCGAAACTTGCGGCGACCTAGAAGAGACTTGGGAAACGGCTCAAGGCCCTTCGGAGGGCCCGCAGACCTTTGAACCGACGATTCGCGCGAGCACTGAGAAGAAGAAGAGGCACTCAGAGGATGCGCACAAAAAGACCTCAAGAAGAAGTCATAGCGATGACCACAATGGAAAATAACCGCCGACATTTCGTCATCAACGTCGACGGAACCGACGGCTACGGAAAACCATTCCGAGCCCGAGCAGTGATTGATACGGGAAGCACAGGAAACCTCATCAATCCCCGTTTCATCAACAAAAAGAGACTTCCCAACGAAGAATTGCCAGAACCAATCCCCGTCTCCTCAGGAGAAGGAACACCATACCTATACAACGACGGCAAGATCACGCACGTCTCGACACTTCTGATCAAGGTGGACGGAGACGAGCAAGAGATCGAATTTAGGATTGCGCCGGTAGAAGGATTCGACATAATCCTCGGAGAAACCTGGCTGAAGAAATACAATCCATGGATGGACTTTGAGGGTGGCCACCTCTCGATTCGGAACCGCGACGACGAGGCCTCAAGCCCATGCCCAGAATGCGCACTACGACAAACCAGGGAAGAACGGACCGGTGTGGAGCACGCTGCCCACGGGGTACCCCCTGAAGGAACTGAGTCCCGAGAGCCGACGATGCTATGGATCAGATTCACCAACGACTACGACGGTCGAGAGAAGGAAGAATCTTCTCCGAGACCAGGCACCGACTTGAATAACGTGCCAGAGGAATATCGACATTTCCAGTTGTTCAAAAAGAAGATCGAGGATCTACCTGAACACGGACCTTGGGACCACGAGATCAGGCTGAAAGAAGGAACGCAGCTGAAGTTCTTCAAGACCTACCACATGAACCCGAAACAAAAAGAAGCCCTTAGAGAGTACATTAACGAAAACCTCCGAAACGGCTTTATCGTGGAATCCCAGTCACCAGCAGGATACCCAGTTCTGTTCGTCCCAAAGAAGGACGGAAAACTTCGCATGGTCGTCGACTACCGATCGCTCAACGAGGATACGATCAAGAATCGTTACCCCTTGCCACTGATCTCCGAGATCAGGGAACGTCTAGTGGGAGCCAACTGGTTCACCAGCCTCGACTTCCCTATGGGGTTCAACCACATTCGCATGAAAGAGGAGGACGAACATAAAACCGCGTTCCGTACGCCCCTTGGTCACTATCAGTACCGAGTCATGCCGTTTGGACTCACCAACGCTCCTGCGTCGTTCCAGAGCATGATCGACCACGTACTGAGACCCTTCCTCGACAAATTTGTGTTTGTTTACGTCGACGACGTCCTTATCTATTCTCGAACGATCGAAGAACATCGACGACATGTACGACAAGTACTGACAGCCTTGGAACAAGCCAAGCTGACGGTGAACCCGGAGAAGAGTAAGTTCCACGTATAAGAACTTGACTACTTGGGATTCAGAATATCCCCCGGAGAAATCACAATGCAACCAGAAAAGGTCAAGGCAGTGGAAGACTGGCCTACACCGACCTCGCAAGTAGAAGTGCAGTCTTTCCTTGGACTGGCAAACTTCTACCGATGCTTCGTACGAAACTTCGCAAAAATCGCCAAACCACTACACGAGCTGTGTGGAATGGGAGTTCCCTTCACATGGACAACACGACATCAAAAAGCACTCGACGACCTAAAACGAGCCTTCACAACAGCGCCAGTCCTCATGATGCCAGACTTCTCCAAACCCTTCAGGGTCGAAACCGACGCATCCGAATTCGCCTTAGGAGGAGTCCTCAGCCAAAAACAAGATGACGGAAAACATCACCCGTGTGCCTTCCTGTCCAAAGCAATCAGCGGACCGGCACT